GCCACTTGAGCCACAGGCACCGAGCCAAAGTTTAAGTTTCTAACTGAACCTCTTTTCATAGTTGAAGAACCTTTCCTTCAATAATTCTGTCAGTTAAGAGCAGGAAAGAAACCACTCTCAGTCCACATTAGTCTTTTTACATACTCCTACAAAGGCTTTGTTCAAACAGTAAAGAATTTTGTGGGTCCCCCCCCCCATATTTATAAAAAGCAATTTAAGTTCAGGCTCAGTAGCTCACACCTGTAATCTCAACACTCTGGGAGGCCAAGGTGGGGGAATCCCTTGAGCTCAGGAGTTTGAGACCAGCTTTGAGAGAGGATACCTGAGAAGGGCAAGGTCTGGGAGAACAAGTCCTCTCAGGGAAACCTGAAGGATGCACCTGCAGGGTCCTCTCTATGGTGACTCAGCTCTTGGGAATTTGTAGGCTTAACTCCCTGGAATCTGGAAATGTCCAAGTTCTGTGAAATCCTGTAGTTCTGTACGGGCTGGACTAGCATCTCCTGCTTGATTCAGATTGGCCAATGAGAAGGGTACTTGTGGGGTGGAACTTCCTGACTGTCAATAAAAAGGGAAAGACCAAGCCAGTCGGGGAGTGTGGCCATTTGGAAATTTATGCCATAAGCTCCCGCCGATGAATAAAGCCTTTCCTCTTATAAACGTGGTGTTTGGGTGCTCTTTCTCTCCATTGGGCTTCATCTTCCTGCAACATTTTGAGCAAGAGTGAAACCTCAATCTCTATAAAAATAGAAAAATCAGCTGGGCATTATGGTGGGCATCTGTAGTCCCTGTTATTCAGGAGTCTGAGGCAAGTGGATCTCTTGAACCCGTGAGTATGAGGTTGCTGTGAGCTACGATGTCATAGAACTCTACCCAAGATGACAGAATGAGACTCTGATGTAGAGAGCAGGCCCCAACTGCTTTTCCTCTTTTTGGAAACAGCCATTTTCCTTTCTTCATGCTCCTTCTGCCAGAAGTCACATAGCTCTTTCTTTGTCTAGTTAACTATGTAGAAATCCATGAGATCCTTCCCTTCTTTCTCCTTGTCTTATGCAAACAAAGTTAAGTGGCAACCTTCAAGTCTCATAGTTCTTTGTTCGATCAACTATGCTGAGATCCCTGGAATCTTGCCCTTCTTACTTCTTGACATATGTTAACGAAGATGAGCAGAAACCATTAACAAGATGGTTTGTCTTTGGTAGTTATTTATATTTTCCTATTGTACTGTAATACCAAAACTATGTCTTCTGTTTATGCTATTTCCCCATGTTGTCTATGCTACTTCTCCCTGCACAACCCTGTACAGATACTATAAAATAAAGCTGACTGTGCTTTGGTGCTGGCTGTAGCCATCAGCTCAGTCAGTCCTCCCGATCCCATCATTTCCATCTCTTCTCTTATACTGTATTTTTCTCAGTCCCCACCCATTCTACTGTGGTTTACTCCCCTTCACCATGTTGGTTTGCGGCACTCTTTCTCAAAAAAAAAAAAAAATTTAAAAATAATCTTAACAGTAAAAAGGTAAGAAGAAAGTAAAACTTAAGAGTATAATATCTCTACTTGACCTATTTATACCTGAGCATACATATAAATATATTTTAAAGTAAATAGGTTCCTAGTTTACACAGAGTCTAGTGAATTTTTTTTTCTCTATGCAACAATATGTCAAGAAATGGGCACATCTGAATACCCACCAGGCAAAGTTTCTTTTCTTTGCAAAGTCAATGTAGTGGATTAATGATGGTCCCGTCTGAAATTATATGCCCAAATCCTAACCCCAATATATTTCTTAATCTGGAAAAAGGGTCTTTGCAGGTATAATTACATTAAGCATTTCCAGATGAGATCATTCTGGATTAACCAGGTGGGCCCTAAATGCAACGACAAGTGTCCTTGCTCCGGGTGTGATCCTTCTCTAGACTGTGCTGTGTTTTGGCTCCTTTCATTTCTCCTGCGGCCTCAAGGCCCTCGCAGGGCTGGTCCAGGCATGGCTGCTCTCTTCCATTCTTCTGCTATGCCTTTAAGACTTCACAGGAAAGTCAAGTGACCTGTGGCCCCCCTCATCATCACCCCAGTAAGGTTTCTTCTCAGCAGGTATAATTCCCCTCACAGCCCATGTCACTGCTGCAGCTTTCTGGTGTGCTTATCAGATTCTGCCTCTTTACCAAATTGGAACCTTGGTGGGGACAGACACCTTGCCTCCCCCAACGGTCTATTCTCAGGCCAGCCCCCACCCCACGCCAGCTGCCACAGCAGGCCCTTCTGAACCAACGACTAGAAGACTTTGCCAAGGGGTGTGGGCTGGGCAGGGTGGTCAGGTCACTTGTACTCCACAGTGGCCACTCCTGAGTGGAAATCGTGTTGTTCACCTTTATGGACAGCGCAGCCCTGGCTGACAGTGCCGGCCAAGGGGCTAAACCATTTTGAAGGAATGGAAGGAGTATAATTTGAATTTGCGCATTGGCGCAACATTTTAACTCCTTCTACAGCATGTATTCACTAGTTCATTCCTTTGTTTTCTGTTTCTCCCTTAGACTGTAAACTGTGGAGGTGCTTGGCCTGCATCCACCCGAAAACCGTCTTGGTGTGGGAGATATTCAGCTACTCAGCAAGGCGCGGCCGGCTGAGTCCTGCGCCCCAAACATTCAAAAAGCAAATAAGCCAACCCAAGATGTCAAGGGTCCCGGACGGATCAATGACTGTCCCAGCAGCCCGCGTCACGCGGCCGTCGCCTCCTCGGGCCCGGTCCCCCACACTCTCGCCCCCAGCCCGCCCCCCACTTCCGCCCCG